ATTTTTATTTATACTGGTTTTATACAAAAATCTTATATATTGTGTATCTTTAATGTACTCTGTGTTTCACACATCCCTACATCCACATTGTGTTTCAAATAATTACTCATATATATTGTATTTTATAAAATTAATCACAATTGGTTTATGCCTACTATTCCCCTGTCTTTTCACGCCCCCACTGGATCTTTCCTAATTTCCTCACCCCTTCCCACCATCCACCAAACTCTCTTATGGCAGTGATTTCCTTCTCTCTCCACCTTTTGCCTTCCTGTCTCTTCTCTTCCCCTTTTGGGCTTTTATACGTATCTTATTAGTTGCCTTATTTTTGCAATGTTTCTCTTAAGCAGTCTTTGCCCTTATGAGACTGAGTTAGTTCACTTAGCATAATGCTCTCTAGTCTCTTCTATGCTATGTAGTATTTTATGAGATTGTTGCTCCTTAGTGCTGCATAGTAGTCCGTTTTGTGAATGTACCACAATTTCTGAATCCATTAATTTGTTGACGGACATTGAACTGTTTCCATTTCCTTGCTATTGTGAGTAATACTTCTATAAGCATAGTTGTATAAATCGTCATTTGTGTCTTAGTTCCATTTTCCTTGGAGTATATTCCTAGCAGTGCAATAAGTGAGTCAAATGGTATTTCTATGCTCAGCTTTTTTATGAATGTCAAAGTGCCTTCCAAAGTGATTGTATCATTTTACATATCCACTGGCAGTGTATAAGAGTTCCAATATCTCTGTATCCTCTCCAACATTTATTGCTTGCTGCCTGGTTAAACTCTGCTATTTCTACTAGGATGAGATGACATCTTATTGTGGTTTTGATTTTCACCTCTCTTAGTGCCAGTGATTTTGAGCATTGCTTCATGTGTCTGTTGGCCATCTGAATGTCTTCCTTTGTCAAAAGTTTTTCCATGGCTTTCACCCATTTTGTGGCTGGATTATCATTCTTTTCATGTGGAAGCTACATAGCATTATGTAAACTTTTGTGATAAGACCTTTGTTTGAGATGTCAAAGCTAACTGTTTCCCCCCTCCCCCAGAGTGTAGGTTTTCTTTTCACCCTATTGGAAAATCTTTTTTTAAGCACACAGGGGCTGAAACTTTAGGTTATATTCCTCAGTTTGGATTCCTCAATCCATATTGAACACTGAAGCCTTCAATACAGACTAAATGTCAAAGTCAAGAAAACAAAATTTCTCATCACTGGACCAATAGATAACATCATGATAGATGGAGAAATGATTAAAACTGTCAATAATGTCATTTTCTTGGATCCACAATAAACATGCTTGGCACCACTAGTCAGGAGATCAGGAGATGTATTGCACTGGGAAAGTCTACAGTCTGGGACCTCACCAAGTTATGTCAATTTGAGGACTAAGGTGCACTTGATTCAAACTATGATTTTTAAAAACACTTTCTATGCATCTGAGATCTGGACAATGAATAATTGTAAAAAAAATTGATGTCTTTGAATTATAGTGTTGGAAGAGAGTACTAAATATTGCATGGTGTGCCAAAAGAACAAACTTCACAGGTGCTCTTCACTTTGGAGAAGGTGAAGCCAGATTGTTTCTTGGAAACAAGGGTCATGAAGCTTCACCTCACGTACTTTGGGCATGTTGCTAGGAAGGGATATTCCTTGGAGAAAGAAATCATTCTTGGAAAGTTGGAGGGACAGTGAAGGAAAGGAAGACTCTCAACCAAGTGGATTGACACAGTGAGTGCAACAATGGGCTTGAGTATGTCAGATATTGTGAGGTTGGTACAGGTTAGGACAGAGTTCAGATTTGTTGTTTATAGACTCACTATGAGTCATATTCATCTTGATAGCACCTAATAATAATAATTCCTCAATTTTGTCCTCTACTGGCTGTGCATTTCTGTCTGTGTTTGCAAGCCTGTTTATACCATGTTATTGTTGTTGTGTACTGTCATGTAGGAACTGACCCCTAGTTGACCCTCTGCCAGGTCTTCAGAGGAAATTAATTATTCTGGAGGAGACTACTCATCCTTCTCCTCCAGAACAGCTGGTGGATTCAGGATTGCAGTGCAGCTTCTTGCCTCTAGGTCACAAGTGCTCCCTATTGGCCAAGATTTGTAAGTTTGGTCTCATTTTGTCTCTTTTGATCTTTATGATTTGGGGCTTTACTCCTAGGTCTCTCAGACCCAGTCTGAGTTGATTTTTATGTTTGGTGTTAGATGTGAATACTGCTTAAGCTTTCTTCAGGTAAATGTCTAGTTTTGTCAATACTATTTGTTTAAGATGTTGTCATTTCCCTATTTGATTGGTTTTATTTCTTTGCCAAATATCTGTTGACTGTAGGTAGAGGGGTTAATTTCTTGGTCCTTTATTGTGTTCCATTGGTCTATGTATCTGTCGTTGTACCAGTACCTGTTTGTTTTCCTAGCAGTACATGGTATATTCAACACTCTTCTCCAGCACCACAACTCAAAGGCATCAATTCTCTTTCTATCATCCCTAGTCACTGTCCAGCTTTCTGACACATAGCATGCAATTGCAAAAACTATGGCCCAGATTAGGCACACCTTAATCTTCAGCCTGACGTTGTTGCTCTTCAGTACTCTGGAGAGGTCCCTGACAGCTGACGTTCCCAACACAATTAATTTCTTGATTTTCTGGCTGCTAGTACCAAGAGTGTTGATTGTGGAACCAAGCAAACTAAAACTGTTAACAATCTCAATCTCTTCACAATCCATAATGATACTGCCAATTGCCCCCTTGGTGAGAATCTTTGTTTTCTTGATGTTGAGCTTCAGCTGATATTGAAGGCTGCAGTCTATGACCTTCTGCAGCAAGTGCTTCAGGTCCTCCTCAGCTTCAGCAAGCAGAGTTGTGTCATCTGCATAATGCAGATTGTTGATGATTCTTCCTCCAACCCTGATGCCACATTCTTCCTCCTCGGACAGCCCAGCATCCTGGATGATCTGTTCTGCATACAGATTGAAAAGTTATGGAGACAGAATACATTCCTGGCGGGCACCCTTCCTGATTTTGAACCATACAGTATTTCCTTGCTCTGTTCTGACGACTGCCTCTTGGTTCAAGTACTGATTTCACATAAGCACAATCAAAATAAACTAGTAGAAAAAATTTTAAAAACCCACCCAAATCTAGGTGAAGAGCCATTAAAAAGGGCTCTTCTTTATGTCCTTCATGGAGACTAAAAGAAAGAGAGGGAGAGAGAAGAAAGAAAAGAGAGGGGAGGAGAGGAGAGGAGAGGAGAGGAGAGGAGAGGAGAGGAGAGGAGAGGAGAGGAGAGGAGAGGGACGGAGAAATGCTGAGCAAGGGGAGAATTGCATTGGGAAAGTCTGCTTTCAGAGACCTCTCGAAAGTACTGAAGAGCAACAATGTCAATCTGGGGACTAATACGTGCCCGGTCCAGGCCATAGTCTTTGCAATTACTTGCTATGCATCAGAAAGCTGGACAACGATGAAGGATGTTAGGAGAATTGGTGCCTTTAGACTGTGGTGCTGGAGAAGAGTATTGAATATACCAAGGACTGCTAAGAGAATTAACAGCTTCATCCTTGAGAGGGTGAGACCAAGCTGCTCCTTGAGGGCAAGGATTCTGAAGTTTCATCTGACATACTTTGGACATGTTGCAAGGAGGGACCAGTCCTTGGAGAGGGACGTCATGCTTGGGATGGTGGAGAGACAGTGGAAGAGAGGAAGACCCTCGATGAGATGGATTGATTCAGTAACTGGGGTAATGGAGGTAGGCGTATCAGAGACAATAAGATTGGCACAGTATAGAGCAAGGTTTAGGGTTCATAGGCTCATAGAGCAGGGTTTAGGTTCAAAGGGTCACTAATGAGTCGCAGGTGACTCATCAGCACATAACAACAACTACAATAAATATCATTGCCTAGTTTGCTTCGTAGAATAACTCTGGGAATGTTACTTTTTTTGGTATTTTTTTAAAAATAATTTAATTGACAGTAGTTCTTCTCTGAATGTAGGTTCAACAGTAGCAATCTGCTGTGAAGCCATCTGACCCAGGACTATTTTTGTGGGAGAGTCTTCTTTTTAATGGGTCTGTTCAAGTGTTCTATGTCCATCCCTGTAAATTGGATAAGGTGTGAGTTTTTAAGAATTTGTCCATTTCCTCTAAATTTTCAAATTTATCAGTATACTTATTAGTAATATTCTGTCATTATTGATTTAATTTCATCTGGTTCTGTAATTATATCACCTCTTTAATTTCTTATGAGTTACTTGTTTCTTCTTTTACTATCTTTTTTTCTGTTAAGATTGCAAGCTTATCTATTATCACTTAAATTTTTTTAGGTTTTACATTTTATTTCCAGGAAATAATGTTTTCTTTTCACACAGAGGTATCCCATCCTCTCAAAACAGAAGCTGCCCTGGCTTTCAGGGACAGCCACAGGGTGCATCCCATCTGTCCAGAAGGAGATGCTTCCGAGGTACCAAAACAACAAATTATAAAACAAACGAAGAGGTAGTAGAATCCATTTGACATGTAGTGAAGTGGCTTATTAAGTACCATTAAGCAGTTAGGTCCATGAGTACTGATGGTGTTTCAGGCGTAATTCCAGCAGTTCTGGCCAATAGCAACAGCACATGATGACAGAGAATGTGTTTTCAGTCTCTTTCCTACAAGGCTTCTCAAGGTGGTCTCAGAACAGTGCAAATCATGTTCAGAGTATCCTCCAGACCCATCCCAAATTCCCACTGCCTGGTTTCATGAGACCTGGTCTTCAGGACAGTCACTTTGGTTTCTGTTCCTTAATAAGGAAAATTCATCAAACTCTCACTTCTGAGCTCAGATATCTACTTTTTTTTTTTTTTTAGCATCTAAGGTTTTATTAAAGTTTTTAAAAACAAGCATCCATGCCAGTGAGGATAGTGGTGGGGAAAAGGGAAGGGTAAGAGAAGAAGGAATTCTGCCTTATTGGTAATACAGCTCCAGGTTCAGCCCATCGTGGATTTCATAGTTGCCCGAGCACACGTGGTCCTTGAAAATGGTGTACCACTTCTTAAGGACAATTTTGTTCCAGCAGGTGCCTGTTTGGGCTGCGATGAGCTTCTTAAGATCTCCAATGGTGTCATCAGGGTTGCACTTAACGCGGACCTTCTTCCCCAGACGGTCGTTGCAAACCACCTCAATCATCATGGCTGCGGCTCGAACCTGCTCGGAACCAGCGACGCCACAAGCTTCGAGCTTCAACGCTAAGCCCATTTTATTAAGGCAATTGTTCAGAATGAGGGAGTGAGGTTTTTTTTTTTTTTACATATATTTTAACTTTATTTTGTTGTAGTTAAGACTATATACAACAAAATACACACCAATTCAATCATTTCTACATGCACAAGTAAGTGACATTGTTAGCCTTTTTTCTCTGATTGTTACTCCCTAAATTAATGGCGAAATACTCAAATTGCTATTTGGAAAAGAGAATTTTTAGGCCTTACATACAGACTGTGAATTTATCTATACCTTCCCTCCTCAGGAGATGCAGGTGACTCAAGTCCTGAGGAAGTTTTCACAGGAAAAGGAAAGCTGATGAATTTGTAATCCATTCCCCTTTCTAACACCTTCTTGGAGTTACAGAGATTCTGTAAAATATCCCAGATATGGTTACCACCAACCAGAGATTTTTGTAGTTGGCTAATGACGGATACTTTGCTCTTTCCCTAGGGAGGGAAGGGGATAAATCTATATAATGAATGTGATTTGTCACCATGTGTATGTAGTATGTCTTTTAAACTTTTTTAATTTTTATTAATTTAGTTTGTTTATTTTTCATTTCAATGAACATCTACAGAGATTTTGGAATTCCATTCATTCATTGTTGCACCCTTCTCCCCGCACAAACCCCTCCCCCCTCTCCCCCCTTTGCTCCTCTCCTTGAAAAGCAAAGAGGGAGTGAGTTTTGGATTGGATGTCCTTCTCACAAAGAGGACACTCCTTTTCCCCCCCTTTTTATTAATTTTAATAAACATTTACAGAGATTTTGGATTTCCATTCATTCATTGCTGTACTTTTCTCCCTGTCCACCCCTCCCCACCAGTTCGCTACTCTCTTTGAAAAGAAAAAAAATTCCTTCATTGGTATACATTTCCCCCATTCCCCCACCCCCGCCCCAAGTTCACTTCTCTATGCAACCTTAATTCCCGGCTCCTGTGCTAACCATAATACTCAATCATATATCACCTTTAATCTGTTCTTTCCCTCATCTGTTTCAGTACAGTATACATAATTTATCCAGTTTTTCCTCAGTCCTACTCCAACCCTGATGTCAGTCCCATTCTCTACAACAGTGGCACCGTGCAGTATTTGTCCTTTTGTGACTGAGATATTTCACTCAGCATAATGTCCTCCAGGGTCACCCATTTTGAATAATGTTGCATGAGTTCCTTGTTTTTCAATGCAGCGTAGTATTCCATTGTGTGAATATACCACAGCTTCTCTATCCATT